AAAAAAAAAAAAAAAAAAAAAAAAAAAAAAAAAAAGTGGTGTCATTAAAAAGTACAGCCCTGGCTCCTAGCAGCTTTGGGTTTTTTAATCTTTTGTTAGAGAGAAAAGTCCTATGTAGTCCTATATAGTGTTTTGAGGGAGGGTGTGATCTCTTGTAGCAGTAAATTTGACGACCAAGTATCCTCTGCTAAGAAAATCCTGCCTTTAATTTTCTAAGTGCAGATTTGGATGCAGTTGGCCTCATTTTCACTGCTAGAATGGTTTCAGCTTCAGAGCAAAAGGTGCTTTTAAAATTAGCTTTGAGTGCATTTGAGGGTATAACTTAAGAACAGTGATACTGTAATAGCTCAGCCATTAGGTTGGCAGCCAAAAAGAGAACAAAGTGTCTGATAATATGATATCAATTCATCTTACCATGGAAGGCCTATCTTGAAGCACCTCAAAGCAGCTTCAGCCTTCTGCTTCCACTGGTTTAATAACTTCAGGGTTTGTTTTTTTTTTAAAATGCATTCTTTCACAGGGTAAGCACTAACACATAGGGTGTGCTGTAGAGAACATGCTTTTTCTAGTACAGCTGCTCTGGAAAGTGCTGCTGGTAGAGAGAGTATCCCAAACGTGGTGATGCACCAGGTCACCCTGATCAGTGGGACCATGAGCTCATTACCTCCTGTCCTGCTGGGGAGCAGCTGGGGCACATCATCCCAGCCAACAGCAGAGAGTTGGAGAGCCCAGTGCCTGGATGGTCACTGCTGGGCTGGTCCTGCTAAGGCTGAAGGTTCATTTACCTTTCCCTTGACTGGAGCACAGCTGGAGCAAGGTACATCAGGAAGTCTCTCATGCCTTCACCATGAGTGATCACGCCATCCTGTGTCAGCTGCGGGGCAGCAGCATGCCTGGGTCACTGCTGAGCAAGCCCAAGCTGTCCAGCAGTGTGGCTGGGTTGAAGAGCTGCCTCCTGTTGGCTGGCCATCGGGGAAGAGGGCCAGGAGGCCTCCCAGGTGTGGCCCTGCAGGCTGCAGCAGCATGGCTTTGTTTAAACTCCCACCTCCTTGGGTATGAAAGCTAAAAGTGTACATGCACCATGTGAAGGTAAAGCTTGATGTTATAATGTAGCTTGTTTAGGAAACAGCAGGGGAGTTGCAGTCTCACTGAGACTGCAGACTGGTCCCACTGAGATGCTAGGTTCTTCAGCAGAATAACTAGCCTTTTTTGAAATCCATCCTAATATTTGCTTTATTGCTATCAATCCCTTCCTTACCTAAATTACAGGCTGCCCAGGGAGGTAGTGGAGTCACCAGCCCTGGAAGTGTTGAAAAGAAATACAGATGTGGTGCTTAGTGACATGATTTAAGCACTGAACGGGTAGATTAGGTTATGTTGGTGAATTTAGGTTATGGTTCGACTTAATGATCTTTAAGGTCCTTTCCAACCAGGATGATTCTGTGATTCTGTAATGAAAGCCAAGTTAAGTGTGTGCACAAGCTGCAGTCTTTCTTTATGACTAAGCCTACACAATTTGGACATTCTGAGTCTGCTTTGTATTTCCTTAGATAAATTTCCCCCAACACTTTTGAGAATCTTTTTAGGAGTACACCAAAGGGAATGAATGGTATGATTATTCCTGACTGTTCAGCCCAGCACATACCCACTAGATTCTGAAAGAGCGATGTAAAGGTTTGATACCTAATTCAATATCTTCTGCTATCCAGAAACAACAAATGAAAATATATGATGAATTATAGTTCGCTGTGAAAAGCTGAAATTCATTTAGATAAAGTTTTGGGATCCTTAGGTTGTTCTGTAACTCATCTTAGAAACAAAGAGTTATTTGTATTAGAATTTTTGTACCACCTATACATTGTTTTATGGCATAAGTTAAAAGCAATAATGTAAGATGACAAACAAGATAGAAAACTTTTTCTGCTTACCATGAGTAAGATGTATATTTGACTAATGCCATTTAAAGAAGCCTTTCTTTCTAATGGGAAAAGGGACAGAGGTCAGCTTGTTCTGAATACCAGAGCACAATGTCAATGTATTTATAAGACTCTCAGAGGGATTAATAAATTCTAGATTTTGCACAAAAAAAGACAAGTGAATGTATATTTAAGGGAAGTTATTTTTCTCTTTTGAAAAGCAATGGATAGAGTGTCCTCTGTTTCATTATAATACAGGAAGTAAGATATCTTCTTACACTGACTTCAATGTGTAGCAGGCAACATTTAGTTACAGAACAAATGTGTTCAGATTTCAGTCATATTTTGAAGGTGTAACTGGCCATAGAATAATCCATCAGTCTTGCAAGTATCCAGGACAAGAATCACCCCACTCTTTTCAGTCTCATCTCTGAGACACAATTGAGTAGGTTTAGTAAGAGAACATGATCATTTAGAGCAAAAATGGGCCTTCTGGGTTCACTTATGTCTAGTGTAGTGACAGCAGTGTCACAAGCAATTGCATTAAATCCTCCCCTCTTGAATGTATCAGCCCTCATTTTCTAAGCTGAAGGGCAGTTTTCCTACTACTCC